AAGATGGAACTTGGAGACATTGTAGAAAATAGGTCTACCTTTCATCTAGCGCCAATATTCCACCTTTGTGTGGAGATTACCTAAAAATCGGTACAGCGGTCTAGTAGGGTTAAGTCAAAACTCCAAGACCTGGTCCCAACCTGCTTCTCCTGCTTCGGAGGCCACCATTTTCCCTGCACTCCCTGTGCCCCTCTGCGGACGGGACTACACTGCCCCGTCTCACTGATTCCCCTGCTTGGACTGGCCTCCCCCAAATCATATAATCAGCTCTCAAGGCCAATCTTAAACAGCATGCCTTTTATACCGACCCTCCCAACCTGTAAACTCTCCCGTTCTTCCAAACGCCACGAGCACTCCGCCTCTAACAGTAACTACCGCTTACTCACCACGTAGTATGTGTCAGACCTCATTTAATTCCCACAGCACACCTGTGAGGTAAGCCTGGGTGTCCCCACTTAGGAAGAAATCAGTCTGAAGGTTAGGTGCTCATCTGCTGTCACAGGCTCATGGTGAGTAGAGAAGTCAGATTCAGACCCAGACCTGAGCCTCGGAGTCCGCGGTTTAATCACGAAGCCACGCGCCTCGCTGCCTCTCTCTGGGAACCCAGCGCACTCTCCCGTGTTGCCCTTTTGCTGCTGTTTACCGGCATTTTCTGTAAGCTGGGCGCTATTTTAAGCCTTTCACAAGATTTAGCTCATTTAATTCTCACAACAAATCTATAACGTAGGCACTATTATTGTCCCCATTTTACAGATAAGGGCAGAGAGAATTTAAGTCCAAGGTCATTGCCCAGGCAGTCCAGCCGAAGAATCTGCTCTGGCAACCACACACTGGACTGTTTTTGTCGTTTTTATCTGCTTCCCCCATTAAACAGCTCCTGGAGCTATTTAATGCTAAATCATTCATCTCTGATTCCCCTTCGGCCCCTAACTCAGGGCCTGCCACAAAGGAGGCCTTGAAAACTGCCTGTTGAATGAAATCACCGACAAACTTACAAAACACCCACGTGGGACACACGCGTCCACCCCTGCCAACACACACTTTACCACAGTTACCTGTTCTCTCCCGAGCATGCCTGACACTGTCCTATACCTCTGCCCCCCGCTCCTCGGGGTCTCCCACACACCTGCACACCCTTTCTTCCTTGGTCCCTTTTCAGCCCTTTCTCTACACACATGAGTGGCATGAGGAGGAGTTCTCATGCAAACCACCACGAAATTCCCGTCTCTCCCAGCTTCGGCAGATAATCAGCAGCAACACACACTCAGCTGCTCGTACTTAGCTCTGTCTTCCATTGCCTGTGGCCAGACACCCCAGAGGAGGAAAGAAAGTTTCCTAGCATGGAGACTCTCACCCAGTGGGTAGGCCCAGACCTGGGAAGGCGGGGGGAGCCCAAAGGACCCACAAATCCATATGCACACCAAATACCTGAAGGCAGATTGGTTTGTCTTGCACGCAAAGCTAAAGCTAAAACTATTTTTTCTAACGTGTATCTGATTAACCACAGTGGCAAATACAACATCAAAGTCATCTAGAAGCTCTCTTGAATTCATAGTAGCTTTGTGTCATCTATTTTCACAATAAACAGACATAAAAATAACTACTATGTGGAAAGGGAACTGTGGATTACTGACTTTAGAAATGTCCTTAATCTCGGAAAAAGTTGAGAACCACTCAAAGCAGATAATGATGAAGTGACGCTAGCTTGCAGGGAAGCGCTGAGGTCTGAGATCAGTGTTTTCTGATGGTCTTAGGCGACCCCTGTGAAAGGGTCATTCGACCCCCCAAAGGGGTCGCGACCCACAGGTTGAGAACCGCTGCCTTAAAGGCTTCCTTCCTTAACCCTGATACCTGGAGGGGGAGGGTGGGCCCATTCCGTTCTTCCTTGGCTAGGTGAAAATGTACTACAAGTGTAATGAGCACAGGAGGTTACAAAAGCTGCCCAGAAAATAAGGGACAAAATATAAGGCGAGGGAACGGGGTCATGGGGTGGGGAGGGGGATCGGAGCTGTCACTGTACCGGTCCTTTCCACACCCACGCACACTTACATCTGAAAATATACACGTGCATATTTTCATGTGCATATCCAGCCTCACTTCCAGCTTTTATTCTTTCAAATACGTATTAATATCTCTTCATTCACTCGACAAATCTTTATCAAACACCCACTAAGTGTCTGGTACTATATTAGGTACAGGGAATACAGAGACGAGTCTCCCTGCCTTTTTATCGCAGACAAAGCACCACTCGCTCAACAGATACTACACACACGGGAAGCACCCTGCCCCTACCAGCTGCCTGACTCCCACCTAATATCTCCCTTCCCTTTTTCTTCATGAAACACGCACACACGCACACAAAGGGTCAGATACGGAGCCACCTCTCACGGCTCCAACACAGCTGACACAGACATTCATTCACCTGGTACATACCCAGCACATATACACGGGACACACAAAACAGTCCCTCTCAACACCGGTGCTCTAACGCGTCTCAGACACACAAGCACACAACCCTCGTTCGGAAGCACACACTTTGTTTGGCTCACCGGACGCCTCTGGCTGATGAATCCTTTCAGAGAATGAATAACACAAGGGCTCGGTTTGACCAGGGTGCCTCTGGCTGCGTTTTTCATACACCCAGGCCCGATTCCGCACAGTGAGACTGTGGACCAATTATCATAACCTTCGTCTCTGTGGCTCAAACTTCCCTTCCATCGAGTTAGAAGGGTGGTTCGTCCTATTTTTTAAGAAGGCTTTAAGGGGCCCTAGCTGGTGTTGCTCAGTGGATAGAGCGTCAGCCTTCGGACTGAAAGGTCCCAGGTTTGATTCGGGTCAAGGGCATGTACCTTGGTTGCAGGCACATCCCCTGTAGGGGGTGTGCAGGAGGCAGCTGATTGATGCTTCTCTCTCATCTGATGTTTCTAACTCTCTATCCCTCTCCCTTCCTCTCTGTAAAAATCAAGAAAATATATTTTTTTAAAAAGAAGGCTTTAAGGGGAGGAGTCCTAGGGACCACAGAATCACCAAAGGTCATAGAAAGAAAGATTCTTCATCGAGTCCAGGTGTCTTGCTGAGGCCTCACATGAAAACACATGCACACATGGGCACCTACACACGAACACATGCCCTCACACGTGAGTAGTCCTCACTCTACTAGGCACTGGGCTTCAGTCTGTAAACATTACTATTCCAACAGTCTCACTGCCAGGCCCACGGCCTGTGCACGCAGGCACCCACACACAAACAGTTTCACAGCTTTGGGAGCACCTGAGCTCCTTGGGGGAAAGGTGAGAAGGTGTCAGATTAACTTAATAAACACAGTTCCTGAAGGCATATCCCACATCCTTGTACACATAACCCCACAAACCTTCCTTATGTATTCCTCTACCACAACTATAGATACACAATCACAGGCCTGGGCAGAGTCCAGAGTTCCCAAATTCAAGGCTACACCTGCAGACGGGGCTGTCCACAGGCGGACAACCTTCACGCGGTGGGCACACACTTCGTATGGCTCCCACCCCCAAAGCAGTCCCAGGGCCACACCAGATCGTGGGCACACACATGCAGATGCACACGCTCCCCAAAGACAACCTCTTGGGGCAGACACACACAACTGCTAGGAGGCCACAGCTTCGAGGGGTGCTGAGGGAGAGGAAAGCATGCCTGTCCACACGTATCTGCAGAAAACAGCTGCCACTGAGCAGGGGTGAAGATGGGGACGGGCTCCCCACTCCCCAGCCAGACCAAAGTACAAGCGCCTCAAAGTCCCTCCTTCCCCACCCCCACTAAAACCAAAGCCCACCCAGGCCTGGGGCAACCCCCCACCTTGTCCCCTCACCTCACCCCTCTCTGCCCCTGGCAGCTGGGGAGCTGGCGGAAGCTGCCCCTCCCTTCAACCTCCCTTTCGAGCCCCTATTCCACCTCCGAGTCCATACGCCAACCTCCTCCAGACACCAGTGTCCCTTCCACAGCCCAGGCTGGAAAGGGCTGGATGTTTAAAACAGAAGCTCCCACTCCCTGTCTCTCACCCGGGAGAAACGACCAGCCATGTTTTCGTCCCTCAGCAAATCCGTCATCTCTCAACCACGAGCAGAAGCCTCAGCCACCCTTTCCCGCATTTTTCCTTCACTTTCGACCCTGCCAACTCTGTGGGAAAGAAACCCTCGGTTCCCACGGCCCTGGAGCGCGCGTCACCGCCGCGCAATCCCCCTCGCCCTCCCGCGCCTCCTCCGCAC